TGCGAGAGTCAATCAATTCACTGCTTTGTACTGGAATTCATTCCAGTAGTGGAGATCCGTGTGAATCGCCTTAACAGTCTATCCCGGTGAAGGATAGTAGCCTGCCGGGTATTCTGTCTGAGAGGGCTTGGTCAGCTTAAGAGATTCCAAGCTAATTTAGGATCTTCCGCAGTTTAATCAACAGTAGATCAACCAAAGGTAATTGCAACTTGGACCTAATTGAGGAGCTAGGGGGAATCCATACCTAACTGAGTTCCCAACTTGTAATTAGTAGAGTAGTCAGTAGAGTAGTTTATAAATCAATCCCTTAATCTAGTTGCTAGATAATGAACTGAAGCTGGGTAATAGTAACTCTAGAGACCCGTGGATTCGATATTTATTACTTGTGCCATTATACTGCAGTCCCTTTCATGGTTACACTTGGCCATTGTTAGGTGTTGTGTTTTTAGCGTGTCAAGTTTTTGGCGCTGTTGCCGGGGACTTTCTAGATTATTAGAAAGCAGAAGTTTGTTACTTTAGCGTTTTTCTTTTCTTTTCCACCCTTGCTTTTCACTTGGGTGTTTTTGTTTTTGTTGGTCCAGATCTGAATCATGGATCCTCATGGCTTCTCCAACCATTGGGGGTATCCACCCCGTCCGAGTGGTATTACCCCGCGACTCCCTGGATCAATCAAGGAGGAGAAGACTATGGATTCGGGGTTCCAGTACCAACCCCCTTACTACGGAGAACAATCAGACCCCTGGGCATATAAAGAACAACCTCATTACCAAGAAGACTTTCTCCCACAACCAGAAGGGCCATCAGAGCTGGAGTTAGCCATGGAGGCCTTCACGGGCCACTCTGCAGAGCCATGCTACACTTCACTGGAAGATCCGAACAAACAATTAAGGCTTCTCGTGGAGCAGTTTGCTCGAGACACTGAGAGATCATGCTCCAAGATGGATCTTCAAATCAAAGCCCTTGCCCCTTCCGATCCCTCATTTCTCCATGAAATGGAGGAGACGGTTCAGCGCTCAGGGAAGCAAACAGAGAGGGTGGAGCAAGTTTGCTCACATCTTGCTCAAGATCACCTTTCTGCTACCACGCTAGAAGAGGTGGAGGATGACAAAGGCTACGGGGATGTTGAGGAGCATACAGAAGTTATCACAGAGAACTCCCATGATAATCATGATCAGGAAAGTCCTCTGGTTGCATATCACACATTTCCTTATTTCTGCTCTAACATGCTGGGCCCGAGCGAGGAGATGCAAGATGATCTCATTGAAGAAATTACAGGGAGACTTGCTCTCCAATCTGTGCTAGAAGAAGAAGAGCAAGAAAGGGTGCAGAAAGAAGTTGTGGAGGATGACGAAAGTGAAGCAGGAGGAGTTCTTGATCATTTCCCAGGGGCGATACCACATGAAGAAGAAAGGGGGGTTGAAGAAGCGAGTGGTGTCCAGGTTGAGGATGAAGTTGAGGTGGAAGAGGCTTGCACCGGCCCTATAATACAAGTAATATCCCCACCAAACTTCGAGGAACTGCTTAGCAAGGACCCATTTGCAGTGTCTCTTTGCCAGACCAAGGCCACATCGACATCGGTCACTCTTGGTGGACGCGATGGTGGTCAATCGATGTTGTCATATATGGTTTGGGGCAATGAGACGAGAGAAGAGAAGAAGAGGTCTCGAGGATGGAGGCTTCATCTGCATCAAGTGCACGAGCTTCCATCACCAGTCATACCACATGCTCGTGACTTGCGACTCCACCTCATTGACGAGAACCTCAACTTCAAGGAGGTTCTAGCATGGACCGAAACTTAGGAGCCATCGTCCGGCTCACGACGTGAAAGAAGCGCTTGTTGGGAGGCAACCCAACCAGTCGGTTTGCATTTCTTTCTCTATTTCTCCTCGGTTGAGTCAGTTTTGTTATTTGATTTTAGAGTCAATAACTCAACCTTTGTGAGATTTTGTGTGGTGTTTGTGTTCTGATTACTCTCTCTTCCTGGAATGCACCGCCTGACCCGTCCATCATCATTCACCCTTGATCTGGTAACTTCGTTCGTTCTACCCTCCTTATCTTTCCTCCATTGAGGACAATGTCGTGCTTAAGTGTGGGGGGATGTTCGATTATGTATGCGGGTGAATGTTGGGCTATTTGTGTGCTTGGAGCCTAGTCCACTGTCCAAATTTTTTAATTTGAGGACTCCAAGTACGTTTCTCCATGCAAATTGTCTGCTCAGTATGCTTTGAATTGACAGTCTCTGTAGTAATGTGCAACCTAGGGAGGAAGTGTAGCACTATGGAGGATGTTGAAGTATAAGATTTTTCCTATCTAGCTCTCTGCTGTGTCAGTTGATTTTGTGAATTAGTGGAGCTAAGACCGTTGAATTCATGTGGTAATGTGGACTCTGTTTGAATTGTGTTATGGACTCGTGTATTGAACAGGGTCCTCATGTGGCAAATGAAAAGCATTTGGTCCTCCATGTCGAAATCATAAAAAATCTTAAACATGGGGTAAGCCCAACGTGTGCGGCACCGTTCATTGCACAAAATTGGGTTTTGGAAGAGATTTTAGTGATCCTTAGTGGGGTACTCCTACAAGGTGAAGCTAAGCTGTCTCTAGTACAAGTAAAACTTCCACCCGTCGAACGGTTTGCCTACTTGAGGATGTTTTTTTAAGGGCACAGATAGAGCTTCCGACACCCCTTAATTTCATTGACCCTCCACACGAGTTGAGGAAAAGGAGTTAAAAGAAGTACTTTGGCGAGCGCCAGATGTACAAAAATTGCTCTTGCTCGATTAATAAGGGTCGACCGTGCAAAAGACTGCAGTTGGAACCCCCGCCAAGTGAATGAAGAAAAAAAGAGAGAAAAAGAAATGTAAATGAAAGTGCAAAAAGGGGTTCCAACGGTGAAATGAAGTGAAAGAGCACCCCGGTACAACGAGTCCTTGGTTGTGAATGGTGTGAGTTCCTTTATCCATGAACTGGCTGTCTTACTTCAACTTCTTCTCATGATCCTGGCTTGAGTCTAGTACTAGCATTGAGAGAGATAGGGGACGTCTTAGAAGACCAGTTGACCTCGTAAGCTGCTATATGATCTAGGAAATCCTCTACCGATGATCGAGGTTGTTTGTTGCTATAGAGGTCTGGAGAGCTGCATTGGTTTGATTAGGTTTGCTTGGGGACAAGCAAACGGTTAAGTGTGGGGGAATTTGATAACATCGGATTTGCACATGTTTGCACCCTCGTTTCTTGATCATTTTGGCTTGAGTTTCTGCTTTCTTGGAATATTTTACGCTAGGTTGTGTTCCTTTGTCACATTTCAGGTCCTATCATGTAAATTGAAGCATAGGCACAAGTTTCAAGTCAATCGGAGATCATTTGGCAATTCGGGAGAAGAAACACGAGCATGACCTGAGGAATAATGGACTTCTACCTCATATTATGGACAAATAATCATGGAATTTTGTCATGAAAAGAAAGAGGACGAGACTACGAGCGTCTGGGATCAAACGGCGACTGATTCGGAGTCCGGACGAGGGAGAAATGAAGCATTAAACAGAGGCTGGGTAAGCCACACGGACATCCAGGAACTCCACACGGCCGTGTGGGTCGTGGCCGTGTGGAAATCACCGAGCCTTCACACGGGCAGCTGGGAAAGCCACACGGCAGTGTGGCCTGGCCGCGTGATCGGGAATTTCTGTTTAAAACCCGATTTTCAGCAAAAGAAAAGGGGAGAGCGGGGTTTTTGGTTCCCAAACACCCAAGGGACGAACCCTAGAGAGAGAGCGACTTGGGAACATTCTTGGAGCTATTTTGGAGGATTTCTTCGCCATTGGAGCTCGGGAATTAAGCTTGGAGATGGAGATTGAAGATCTAGATCAGATTTCTGCAGTCTCTCTCTTCTCTATGGAGTAACTTCCCTTCACTTAGGTTTTGAGGAACCCTAGTTCCATGTGTTAGGATCTTTCTTTTATGAAGTTTTGGATGCTATATTGTTTGATTATTATCGATTGATGCATGATTTATTGAGTCAATTGAATCTTGATCAAATTCTCTTGATTTATGCTTTAACCTATGATAGATAGAATCTGATTAGGTTAAGAGAGCTTCCTTGATTGATAGTAGTGAATTGGTTGTGCGAGAGTCAATCAATTCACTGCTTTGTACTGGAATTCATTCCAGTAGTGGAGATCTGTGTGAATCGCCTTAGCAGTCTATCCCGGTGAAGGATAGTCGCCTGCCGGGTATTCTGTCTGAGAGGGCTTGGTCAACTTAAGAGATTCCAAGCTAATTTAGGATCTTCCGCAGTTTAATCAACAGTAGATCAACCAAAGGTAATTGCAACTTGGACCTAATTGAGGAGCTAGGGGGAATCATACCTAAGTGAGTTCCTAACTTGTAATTAGTAGAGTAGTCAGTAGAGTAGTTTATAAATCAATCCTTAATCTAGTTTGCTAGATAATGAACTGAAGCTGAGTAATAGTAACTCTAGAGACCCGTGGATTCGATATTTATTACTTGTGCCATTATACTGCAGTCCCTTTCATTGGTTACACTTGGCCATTGTTAGGTGTTGTGTTTTAGCGTGTCACACATCCCCGGGCTTAAATACATTTTTGATTAACCATAAAAAAACATGATTATGTTTTTAGTTTTTCACACAATATATATTGATTGAAAATGTCTCCAAGGGGGCAAGGGGCACGTGGTAGTTTATGATTGTAAAAACCTATAGTTGACCCCAAAGACCGTACGTATTATTCTTCTTCCCTCCAAATATGCATTGAATAAATAGGATTTTTATTATTAGTCCGGCTGATAGGTACCGCCATGGCATCCCAACCGTTGGATCTAAAAACTAGAGATCTTCCCAACTAGCGGCTAGCCACGAACGCACCCTTTTCTCTTTTTCCCACCTTTACTTTTTCCCGGGAAGAGGAGCTGTAGGGTAGGCGTGTCAGTTATGAAAAAAAAGCAACCTTAGATTCCCTGGAACGAAACGTGGCCGTTTGCTATTGGACCAATCTGGCTAAGGATCAAACTTTGTGGGCCCTGGCGTTGAAACTATAAATGGGCCGCAATCGCGGCCCCAGCCCAAGCCCAATACTTGTGGCCGGAAATTGAAGAAAACCGCCACGTTCAAATCAATCCTTTTGTTGACTTTTACAGTTTTATTCTCTTCAATCTTCATCATCGGTCCGGGACAATACAAAGAAAAAGCAAAAGCAAACCAAAGCTTGTTATTCAATTTCCATCGCGGCCATACGACGGATCAAACCGGGGCGATGAGCTTCCTCAACGCACCACGTCATCAGCCGGACGCCCTTCCTCGGCAGCGGCAGCCACCCGACGATCCCGACCGGTATAATCCCCGACCCCTGAATCGGGACCACGTTCGCCGGCGGGCCCCACCCGTAGTCAACGCCGTTGAACCCCAGCCTCCCCCACTCCGATATGAACAGAGTCGTGTACACCAGCGGCGGCGCAAAAGGATCTTCTTCCCCTTCCTCTCCCTTCACGTATTTCTCAAACTCCGCCCTCAACCTCCCCTTCGCTTCCTGAATCAATTCGATCGCTCCGGCCACCGCCCCCGCCGCCAGTGCGCCGATCGAGGCGGTCACCTTCACCGGGAAGAAGCAGTTCCCGTAGAAACCGTCGGGGAGCGGGGGCTCCACCAGCTGGCGGCAGTTCGCGAAGAAGACGAGCTGCACCTCCACGCTCGGATCCAGATCTATCGCGGCGGATCTGTGCTTCCAGAGGCTGGCGGCGACGGCCTCGAAGGTGGAGCAGGTTTTCCCACCCGTGGAGGCGTGGAATTGAATTTTGGCGCGGTTGATTTCGTCGATTGGGATGTCGATGTTGGCCTGCTGCAGGTTGTAATTAGGGATTGGGGGGAGAGGCGGCGGCGGGGCGAGTGAGGCGGATGAGGGATTGGGTTTCTGTGGGAAGAAGTCTCGGCGCCAGACAGGGGCGGCGGAGAGGCGGTCGGAGTCGATCCCTCTGGCGATCTCGCCTACGGCGCTCAGGAACTGGGCGGCGCCGAGGCCGTCGCAGATGGCGTGGCAGAATATGAGCCCGATCACGAATCCGCCGCAGGCGAACTTGGTGACCTACACGTGTAAAAAAGTTGAGATTTCACATAAAACGAACGCGGGCCTAATGTATTTACGAGCAATTCCTTATGATTAAAATTTCGACGACAAAAGGATTGGTGAATATGAAAGAACCACAACAATTAATTCACTCAATTTTGCTTACGTAATTTAGTAATTTTTTACATAGTGTGATATTATGTAAAATAGAGTTATGATTGTTCACGCCAAATGAAATTGTAAACTTTTTTTTCTCTCTAATAAAATATTTTTAATATTTTGTGAATTAAATTTGAATATTTAAGTTTCTATAAGCACGAGTTATATTAATCATAATCTACGCAATTACATCTATTTTAAAATTTTGATTTTACAATGACGTGAATTAATAATAATATGTGTAAATAAATGCATGTTTGCGTGAATAATTATGACCGTGAATAACTACCACTATTAGTCTATTATGTGAATACACACTAGTATGACATGGATAAACATAAATTTACATGAATAACTGCAAATATATCTGAATTAGATGTTATGTCTCTTAAGGTGCCACCAAGCTTTTTTTTTATTAATTTTTTTCTAGCGATGCTATTTGTGTTAAAGTGTTTAAAAAAAATTTGAATAAAAATTGCACGAAAAAGAATGATTGGTAAAAGAGATTGTAATTGCATAAGAAATTGATGATACCACATACACGAACACGAGTATGAGTAAATTTACATAAAATTTTCTAAGTTTTCTCTCTAAAATTGTTTCAAGAAAAAATTGAAGAAAAAATTGGAACTAGGATTTTAAAAAATTACTCATTCAATTTAATACCAAGCCCCGAAATGTTATAAAAACTAAAATGCATAATCTCTTGAAATATTTTCCTCCCGGTAAAGACAAAAATAGTTGCCTGCATCTGAACAAGGGGCTCCCGTCCCCTCGCTCCCTGTTCAGCTCCGCCGTCGGGGAGCAGACGATCATAAGGAATGGACTCGACATTGTCGTCGAAGCAATTGACATCGTCGAGAGTGACGGAACCGTCGGCGGACGCCTCGACGAACCACACTCCTTCCGCCGAGCAATCGACCAGGAGGGTTTCCAGCTGTTCGAGCCTTCCGGCGAGAGGGTAGTAAGTGACGAGCGCCTTCGACAGGGCTTCTCGAATGACGGCGGCGGCTTCGGCGCCGCCACGTCTGAACACGTGGAGGGTACGTGCGTTGCATCGGAGCACGGGCAGGCTGTCTATGAAGGAGAGGTCGAGACGCCCGGAAGGTGTTCGGCGAAATGGCTGAACCAGAGTGCGAGCGTGCCTTGTCACGGTAAGTGATTCCATGATCAGTTTATTAATTACTGTCTGGTGGGTGAATCTTGGGGGATCGATTCAACTGTTGATTTATACACATCTGGGGAGGGATTTGTTAATTGGTTTCGGATATGTATAGAGACTGATCGTCTGCTTCGCTTTGAAGCACAGTTGGGGATTGGGGTTGGCGCTAAGGGAAGAAATATGGGGTTGGCGCTAAAGGAAGAAAAGGTCGCTGTAGGCCTGAAACTAGGACCCAGTTGATGAGCATGCAGTAGGGTCGTGCGTAGCGGCCATTACATCTATAAGCTTCGACCCCATATTATCATCGGACTCTGTAGCTCAGATGTCCGTTTCCGGCGATCTGATCCCGGAGCGGTGAAACGGGCGGAAGTTTTGCTCCGACAAACTACTTTTGGTAGGAACCATTCGTAGGCATAGGAATCATTATTAGGGCTGCCTGAAACCAGCAGAAATTCCCTTACTGACCATTAAGAACCCTGTCTAACCAGTAATTTATAGAAATTACCCGTCCATCACCTGTTTCCTCTTTGATCATGTTTTGATTCGTTCGGGAAAGGTCAGGTCAGACTGAGTCAGCGGGTTAGCTCAAATCAATTAACAAGCTGATTTTTTTAAAATGACATTTTGGTACCCATATTTGTTTTCAATTACGATTAGTACTTTTTTTTTTTGCAAATGGGTTAAAAATTTTGTGGTTAAATTATGTTTTAGTACCTTTATATTTTTGCTTATAGTACCTGAACTTTAAAACTTTACAAACATGTCAAATCTGTTGGTACCCTATCCAGCTATCCTCTCCCAATTTCAAATCACTAGTTATTACAATTTAGTACCTTATATGGTCAAAAGATGACGTGACTCTAAACTGATCGTGTATCAAAACTGACCTAGCTAGATCCTCACGGTTGGATCGAACCGGATCAGTGGATATATAGGACCAGACTTACAAGTTACAACCCTCATTTGCGAGACTGTGGAAGCTCTAGTTATCTCTGATAAGAATCATAATCGCTTTGATTATGATTCAGACAAAGACTAGACAAGATCACTTTTTAAGGTTGTAATAGTATTAGGACTAGATTGCATCTGTGTATGATTAGCTTGTGTAGTTTATGCTTGATTAGGTATCGTTACATTCATCCAAAAAAGGTATCGTTACATAATTTATTATCCAAGTCTTATAGGAAATCATTATGATTTCTTGCTCATTCTCTTTTTTTCTTCTCTAATCTTGGATTCTTGATATATAATGTCGATGATCGAGCTCCTCCTATCTTTTAACTGATTCAATGAATACGAAATGTCTCTTCGTGTAAATCTATATATTCCACATGATTACCTAAGTCATCCCTAATAAACTAATCAATTTCCTAGGTTAGTACATTAATATACTACTAGTGAGGCCGAAAATGAGTAGACAAAATCCTTATCACGATAATTACTAAGAGCATCATCATTAACTTGGCATTTGTAGGCGGTTGACATGAGATGATCATCGTGGTAATCATCTCCCACCCATTGACAAAAGTTACTAAAAACAATTGATAACTATTTGTGATTTTCCTTCATTTTAAAATTATACAATATGCACAAACACATCTTTAGCTAAATTATTCCACTTCTTCTTCTTCTTCTTCTTCTTCTGTGTTTGTCATATGATGACCATCATCTAAGTTAAAGTATATCATCATTTAATTGTTAGCATTATCACAATAAAATAAACAAATTAATGAAATTGTTAGGCTAATCACTTTAAACTTTCCTCCTTCCAAAATGACACCATAAAAAATAATGTATTCAGTACACATAACAATACAATTCAGGTATTTAGGTGATTTGACACACTCATCATCTTGAATGTGTTTTTTTCTTCTTCCTAATAAGAAAAAGGAACAGCATATTCTCCCATCATTTTGTCATGTCAAAATGTCGGGACCCAGGAAGGCTGTTTTGTCATTATAAGTCCATTATTAATCTATTGTCACGCTTAAACTCAAACCAAAACCAGATTGAATCCATCCTTTTCTCTTCCCTCCTGCATCTATTCTATTCTGCAGACCTCTGCACGTGATTCTTCAACTTCAACTACTCCATTTTGTCTTGTCGCCGCAGGCCGCAGCCCTTTGCTAGCTCAAAGCTTTGATCTCTAATAATTCTTTACCACATCCCCTTCCCCACCACTTTCCTCTCCTTCCTTCCTTTCACACTTGCCACAAACTTTCTGGTTGCCCATTTCCCCACTCGATGAAGCATTAAAAATCACACACCTGGGTTCTGTGATTGGTTCGTCAGACTTCAGCCGCCTAAAGGTTAGTCTTTAGTTGGGTAGCTAAGCACTTCCTCCCCAATCCTAAACTCGCCACTAATTTCACTTTCTGCTCGAATGGCTTCAAGCCCACTAGCTGCTATTGAAATGGATAAACTAAGTTCTGTCCTCTTTACTGCCTGTCACTGTGCAGCCCCTGCTTCATTTTTTTGCAGAATGGGAAGGGAAAGCATTTCCCTTTGAGCAAGTTAGTTAAACAGTTCTGTATCTCTCTAGTCTTTTGATTCGCGTGGATTTCAAGTTTCTCACTTTGTTCTTCTGTCCTCGTCATTTGCCTCTCTCTCTCTCTCTTGAAAGTTGAAATACCATCTTCGTTAGATTCTCCTCCCCCTTTTTATTAATGATTTAAGAAGGGTGTTAATGGTCCTCCACCTCCAGTATACTTTCCCCCATGTTAAGTTTTCTTCACCGTGTGTAAACGGTTGGTGTTTCACGTGGGGTGTTTGAAGAAAGCAGAATTTTTGCCTCCCTAATTAGGAAATAGGCCCTCGGTTTGCTTAATGGGGGGGGGGGGGGGGGGGGGGGGGGGGGGGGCTGTAGGTCTCTTTATTTGAATTGAGAATCTGATCCTTGTTTCTGTTAGGTACCCTGTCATTCTTTTGAGGCCTAAGCTGGATTGTCCCCTGTTAATTGGCTTTTCCATTGAGTGGAAACCAAATGGCCTAAAGTATCAAACTCTTAAGTGAGATGGTTCAAATCTGGTTTATTGGTTCATTCTGCCCATAGACTGAACAGTAGGTCCTTGATTATTTTTGAAATGCAATTACTTGGCATGCTTTTTGTTGGTATAAATTGACAATTCTGATGGAAGTTCACTCCCAACTTTTATTACCAATCTCTAGGTTCTCATGAATTGATTGGGCACAAAGTCAATGGACAGTTGGAAATCAGGTTGGCATTCTTGGCTTCGAATGAGGACAATTAGGTCTCTTCTGCTCGTGTTCCTCTTGTTTAGACTATTCCCTGGTGGCCACAGTGGAAATGGTACCTCCAGGCCTGCTGTAGTAAACATTGGAGCCCTTTTCACATTTGAGTCCTCAATTGGAAGAGTTGCTAAGATTGCCATCGAGGAAGCTGTCAAAGATGTGAATGCAAATTCAAGCATCTTACCTGGAACTACTCTGAAAGTGCAGATGCAGAACACTAACTGCAGTGGGTTCGTTGGCATGGTTGAAGGTAACTTACTATCTACCATCTCACCTTGAATATGTCTTTGCTTGTGTTGCGTCCGCATGTTGTGTGTAAGCTCAAGATTAAAACCATACAATGTCCTTGTGCTAATGGCAGCGCTGCAATTCATGGAGACTGATACCATCGCCATCATTGGTCCACAGTCTTCTGTAGTCGCCCATATCATATCTCATGTGGCAAACGAGCTTCAAGTACCCCTCCTCTCATTTGCAGCAACTGACCCAACTCTCGATTCGCTTCAGTTCCCCTTCTTCGTCAGAACGACACATAGTGATGCTTACCAAATGGCTGCAGTGGCCGAGATGGTGGACTACTATAACTGGAAGCAAGTAACTGCTATCTACATCGACGATGACTATGGACGAAATGGCCTTTCAGCTCTAGGTGATAAGCTTGCTGAGAGGCGCTGCAAAATCTCCTACAAAGTGGGAATCCCTCCTGAATCTGGTGCTAACTCAAGTGACACAATGGACCTTCTTGTCAAGGTGGCAATGATGGAATCTCGGGTCATTGTTCTTCATGTCTATCCTCAAAAGGGCTTCGAGATCTTCTCTATGGCGAATTATTTGGGAATGATGGGGAATGGTTATGTATGGATAGCAACAGATTGGCTTTCGTCTGTGCTCGATTCTACACCACTTGATTCTGATACTATGGAGAAGATACAAGGAGCCCTTGTGCTCCGCCAGCATACTGCAGATTCAGATCGAAAGAAGGCATTCGTCTCTAGGTGGAACAGTGGTGGTTTTCCTGGTCTGAACTCTTATGGCCTGTTTGCTTATGATTCCGTGTGGCTTGTCGCTCAAGCCATCGATAAGTTCTTCAACCAAGGTGGGGTCATCTCATTTTCTAATGACTCAAGGTTGAGTACAGGAGGAGACAGTAACCTTCACTTGGATGCAATGAGCATTTTCAATGATGGGAAGCTTCTCCTGGGGAACATACTGCAGGGCGATGTTGTTGGTTTGACGGGTCGTATTAAATTCGAACCAGATCGATCTCTGACCCTTCCAGCTTATGATGTGATTAATGTGGTTGGTACTGGGTTTAGAAGGGTTGGTTACTGGTCAAATTATTCTGGTTTGTCAACTGTGACTCCTGAGACACTTTACATGAGTCCACCGAATCGTTCTAGTGCTGACCAGCAGCTGTATAGTGTGATTTGGCCCGGTGAGACATCGGTAAAGCCTCGTGGATGGGTTTTCCCTAACAATGGGAAGCAATTGAGGATTGGTGTGCCTATTCGAGTTAGCTTCAAGGAGTTTGTGTCGCCAGTCAGAGGAACACCTGACAAGTTCCAAGGGTTTTGTATAGACGTTTTCACTGCTGCTGTGAACTTGTTGCAGTATCCTGTTCCTTATCAGTTTGTTCCTGTTGGAGATGGGAAGAAGAACCCCAGCTACATGGATATAGTGAATTCAGTCTACAACGGAGTGAGTAGTAGTAGATGCTTATCACTGTTTTGCTAGAATGTCAAGTAGGGTTAACTTTGCGTCTTTAGGGGGCCTTTTGCAATTATATGTTTGCTTGGTGAGAAAGTAGAATAAAGTTCATTGACCCTAAAGTTCAGTGACCATTTATGTAATTGCCATTGTTACTACCAAATGGTGTCCTTACAGTATTCTCTTTTCCCCTTTCTTTTCAAGGTTCTTGATGCTGCTATTGGTGACATTGCCATTGTTACTAACAGAACAAAGATAGTAGACTTTTCACAGCCTTACGTGGCATCTGGGCTGGTTGTGGTGGTTCCATTCAGGAAGATGAACACAGGGGCATGGGCTTTCCTTAGACCCTTTAGTCCCCTCATGTGGATCGTCACTGGTTGTTTCTTCCTTGCTGTTGGCATTGTTGTGTGGGTACTGGAGCACAGGATCAATGACGAATTCAGAGGTCCTCCGAAAAGACAGATGATTACTGTTTTATGGTGAGTTTTCTTGACCAAAATGGTCATGGTTGTCTCTATAACAGAAAGTTGTGGCTGATATGTTCGTGACAATCTTTTCAGGTTCAGCCTCTCAACTTTGTTTTTTGCCCACAGTGAGTGCCTCTTTTAGCTTGTGCAGTGAGTTTTGGTTATGATGTTTGGGTCAATAACTAGTCATGTGAAGGACTGACTGTTGTGTTAGTTACAAACTTCAGTTGCAAGTACATTAAAAATTAATGACCCGTTCATGAGAATTGAACACCATCTACGGACTTGAATTTCTCTTTGCTTTGACAGGAGAGAACACTGTGAGCGCTCTTGGACGGATGGTGCTACTAATATGGCTCTTTGTGGTTCTCATAATCAACTCCAGCTACACAGCAAGCCTCACATCAATCCTCACAGTACAACAGCTCTTTTCTCCAATCAAAGGAATCGAAAGCTTGAAGGAAGGCAATGACCCTATAGGATATCAAACAGGTTCCTTTGCTGAATATTATCTGGGAGAGGAGCTACGCATACCAAAGTCTCGGCTGATTGAACTTGGATCACCTGAAGAATATGCTGCAGCCCTCCAAAAGGGTCCCAAGAATGGAGGAGTTGCTGCAATTGTCGATGAACTCCCCTATGTGGAACTCTTCCTAGCATCTCAGTGCACGTTCCGAATCGTGGGTCAAGAGTTTACCAAAAGTGGTTGGGGATTTGTAAGTATCTGGAAACCATAACTAGTCACATTACTGAAAGCTCTTACTAGTTACTTGTTCCAGAAGAAACTTTTTTCACCTTGTTTCTTGTGCTGGAAGGCATTTCCGCGAGACTCCCCTCTGGCTGTTGACATATCAACCGCGATCCTGGAGCTATCGGAGAACGGGGATCTCCAAAGGATCCATGATAAGTGGCTGGCGGGGTCCAGTTGCAGCTCGGAGACTTCAGAGATCGAATCAGACAGGCTCCATCTCAAGAGCTTCATTGGTCTTTTCTTGATATGTGGGGTGGCATGCTTTGTAGCTCTTGTCATATACTTTGTGCAGGTTATCAGGAAACTTTATAGAAGTGAGCCTAATGAAGCTATAGAGTCTGGTCAGGGGAGCTCGTCCCGTTCTCGGAGTATTCATCGTCTGCTGTCGATAATGGATGAGAAGAAAGACACTTCCAAGAAGGGTAGGGGTAGCAAGAGGAGGAAGTTGGAGACTTCACTTTCTGATAGTAGCAGGGTGGGTGAGTTTGAGAAGAATGAGAGGAGAGAAGTAGAAATGGAGATACCGAGAAGGAACATGAATGGGAATGGGATTAATCCCGAGTAAGAGTAAGAGTAAGAGTTGATCATTGTGTAAATCAACAAAAAAGAAAAGATATGTATTGCTTTTGTAGAGAAATTTGTATTGAAGGGTCTCAAAGAGGAGGCTGCTCATCATTATGATTGTGTAAGAAATTGGTAACATAATGGAAGGTTAGGTCACAATCTTGGTAGGGATATCTTAACACCGGAATATAGAAGCCGCGAATTAGGGATAAGCATTGGCTTAGTTAAATGAGGTTTGGACGAAAACTTACTCATAAATAAGAATAAGTGGGTGACAATAATACAACTCACACTCATCCAAATATGCATTAGTGGGCTGGTTAATGTGGTTTACAAGTGTATTTGGATGAGTAAAATGATTTTCATAAAATATAAAATAAACTCGAGTCAAAATAAATCCAAATCCAAATATCAACGAAAATAAACCCATAAAGAAAATATAAGCTCCTAGCGGCAATATTAGATGAGAAAAACATCAATGCATGTTATTGCTGGAGACTTGGTAAGATTCAATGTAGTCAAAAGCGAGTTTTTACGTAGAAACGTTTTGGTGATCTAGAAGCGTAAAATCGTATGTGTTTAAGTTTTAAAGCGGAGTTTTTAACTACATAAGTTATAAAAACTGAGATTTTGTGTAGAAGCGTTTTAGTGACCTAGAAACGTAAAATCGTAAGTTTTTAAGTTTTAAAGCGCGATTTTGACTAAGAATAGATCGATGACAACTAATTACTGAAAGAAAGGAATTTGATTAAAAACAGAGGAAGTTTGTAACAAAACTTTGAAGAACGAAAGATTCAATTGAGAATTAGTTAAGAATAAATTTGAAGTTGGAAATAGATATACATTTTTTATGATAATTAAAAATTTCACCATATTTCTTCTTGAAATCATCAGATGGAGCTACAAGATCATGATTTTGCCTGAATATATTGAAGGAAAGATTGAGGATTGAGGAGATGATGAAAGAAGATTGTGCTGGTAAATGAATTTAAAATTTTAAATGGATGTGAATTGACGATTTTAGCATAGAGACAGGCATCACTCAAATTATGATGGGTCTGGTTGGAAGCAACTCACATCCATTCACCTCATCATTCATATCGTTTGAGTAGATTTTAGTTGGCCGATTTGAGTAGAATTGGTAACCTGTCCAACGTCCACCTCAACCCTAAATTACTATAATCATTAGTTACATTCAAGTACAAAAAGATAGCATAGGGTAGAATCAATTGTATAGTGGTATTTTCAACTCCCCTATCATATCATTAGATGAGGTTATTTAAATCCACTTAAATTCTGGTCATATTTTTGCCATCCCTATCGTAAAACCAGTAATCACTTTATCCACACGGTCATATTCATATAGTCGCATGATCCTGCTCTAAAAATGGAAGACTGAACTTTTATTTGTAAACGCTCACTGGTTCTTGTGTACAACAGATGGCTCATGCCATATTGCCATGCATTACAATTAGCCTTTTCTACAACTGCTCTATTGGTTAAATTACATTAGTCTGCTGCAAGTACTTCCAGAAGAATTCCTCCTCTGAGCAATGGCTGCATATCACTTTGTACACCTCGATCAGGAGGTTCGGGAACCGATTAGAGAAGTAGCTCTCAAAACCTTCAGGGTGCGACCCAAGCAGCTCCTGGATCTCCTTAGGAAGCTCTCTGTAGTGATGGGACTTGTTGCGTATGACACGGAGCAAGTCTCGAACGCTATCAAACTTGTACTTCCTGTAACGGCCGATATTGTTCAGGAAAGCGGCTTCCATCTTCTCATCCCATTTCCCATCTAATGCTGTAGCTCCGATGCTCTCTAACGCAGTAAGGAGGTCTGACTCAGTTTCTCTGTCTTCCAGTTCAACACGATCGCTCACATCCTGAAGGAATGTGAGTCTCTTCTCTGGTGGCCAAAAAAAGGGATGAATCGCAACTTCTTCGGCCTTTGGTCTACAAAGATCGAGACAACTCAAATTATATGGAATACATGATGAAAATAAAGAGAAAAATGCGGACCAGATTTACAAGGAAATGTGGTTTACCTCTTATCAGGGTTGGGATCCAGGAGGGAAGTGAAAAGGTCGACGGCTTCCGGTATGTTCTCTATCAAGAATAAGTCTTTCTTATCATTCACAATATTTACATCTCGTTCAATGCTGTCCCCGAACGGGTGCTTACCCCCAGTAATGCAGAAGAATAGAACACAGCCTAAACTAAATAAGTCTACTGCACGTGTTTGCCGCCCTTGGAGAAGTTGCTCAGGAGCTTGCCAGCCTGAACTTCCATAGCCTGCAAAAGTAGCAATTGCTTTGCTTCAGATAAATATCCAAAGCCAGTCTTAAAAGTTTCTCTCTAACCCTTTATAACATAGTTTCAATAATCTGATACCTGCCATACTTACCAGTTGCATGATGAGTTAAGGAAGACATGTCTCCAAGAAGGCGCTTGCTAATACCCATATCCGAAAGTTTAGCACAATATGATTTTTCGCTGATTATCAAGACATTCTGGGGCTTCAAGTCCCGATGAATTATCCCAAGTTCATGCAAATGAGCAAGGCCAGAAACTATGTCCCTGCAGATTGAACACTTCTTAATCAAATACATGTGCATTTTCTGAAACCTCACATTGAAATAGCCCAGAGATTCTGGGAACGACAATACTACAGATTTGAACGAAGAGAGAAACTTGAGCTGACAGAAGAAAACAAAATTAATGGCAACTTCATCTCCACTGATTGCACCCAATATTTGTAAACCCAATAAGCAATAAAAGAGAGAAGGGAGCAAATATAAACACACCTCATCAGTTTTAACAAAAGGGGAGAAGGGTAACCCTTTGACTTCCACAGCTCAACGTTCTTATTCTGCTGCAGGATTGTACATATCCTAGTGGTAGACTCGGGCAAACTGCCAGGCTCTTGTCCTTCAGGATTCATTTGGCTTTGAAATGTACCAGAGTGCACATAGACGAAGTCACTCAAGCTGCATCGGCAACGCTCCAGAGCAAGATAAATAAAATCTTGATCATGCTCCACACCGTACCATCTAACAATGTTGGAATGCTGATCAGAAGCAATAAGATTCTGAATCTCTTTGATAGCAACATCATGGTGTGTCTGCACAAGGCGTTTAACAGCTACAGGACGGCCATCATAAATCCCCTCAAGCACCACCGTTCCATTACTACCCTTGGCAATTTCTTTGCTTGAAACCAATAACCTGCCAATTCTACGTCCATCTACATGACCAATAATATCCATAAGACTTTGTGGTATCTTTCTATTATTTCCTTCACCATCCTCAGTTTCATCAGTGCCTCCAACATTACCGCCCTGAGAGACATTTGTCTTTGAGGAATGGTTCTTGTTGTTTCCTGCTCCTGCTCTCTTATTTTTCTTCTTTTTGGGCATTCCAGAATGTGTTTTACGTTCTTCTACTGGTTTACCCAGCTTGCTCCGTTTCCTACCCGCTATATAATTATAGATGATGACACCAATAATGGAGAGAATAGTGACTACGCTAGACCACATGTGAGACTTGGCTGCTATTTCGGAAGGCCAACTGGTACTATATTTTGCTACAAGGGGATCCCCATTCAAGATATCAGATGAAGGCAAAGCAAGAGTAGTTCTGCCTGCATTAGTGGGAAGAGCTGCTGGAAGTCTGTAAACAGGCCCTAAAGCAGGAAGCTGATCCTTGGTAGGTAAGAACTGAGCTATGCCTCCATATTGGAGATGACTAATTGCTAGTTTCTCATATGGCAGCACATTCTGCTCCCGAATGCGCATGGCAGCAGTCTTCACTTGACAAGGAAATTGCCATTCAATTTCATTTCTTCCCACATTTGCATCAGGAGACATCCCATCGAAGAAACTCCTACCATCTTGACATCGAAACTCAGCCTCAATCTCTGCAAATGCCACGTTCCACAAGACTTTACTGGAGTTTGGCGAGTAGTGCTGCAACACATAATCAGTCCTTGTAATGTAAACCAGATTCTCAAAAGTTCCCAAGTCAGTAACACCTGCTTCCACCAACTCTTCAGGGCCATTCACCAAACGAAGGGCATTTTCTTCAGCACTCTGAAATCCCCCATTAGGAGAGTTATCCAGTGCAAAAGAGCGAACTACCCTTCCAGTCTTGGCATCAACAAGAAATGCAGTAGTCTTTTTATTCCCCAATGTAATCTCGCCATCCTCTGATATGTGTGGTGTCCTCCTGATGTACTCATCAGCACTTAGAGACAGTTTTTGCTGTGAAACAGTGGAACAGGACAATACCAATTCAGTTTTCTCATATCCAATGGGAAATTACTGCATATTTCCATTAAGATGCAAAATTTGATAGAACGGAAGAGATCAATTTGAGCTAGCGAATGGAGGGTTAGTCTACCAGTTTACCAAGGTGCTTGCTATGCAGGTAGAGGTCCCAATCATCCCCACAGTCGACGTAATATAAGTCGTCGCTCAATTTAGAAGCGTTAAGCCCATCATCGTCATTATCAAGTGCAGCCTGATAAGAAGAATATATAGGCGATCCAGTAGGGAAGGACCAGCGAATCTTCCCTGAGCTAGCATCAACCAAGTAAACAGTTCCATCCAAAGCAGCCACCACTGCAACTTCACGCTTGCTGAATCAAACCACAAGCAAGCAATGACGGGATAAATCAACAAAGTAAACAATGAGCACGGAAATGAGCAGCCAATTGGGGATCGACACCCTAGCCTATTCAAGAAACTCAACAGATAGAAACCAAACACCTAAGAAATGGATCGAGCATGGATCAGCAGCTATCCTAACTTTATTCCTCATCGACCCATATTCGCCAGACACAGAAAAATCAGAACTTTCCCAAGGGCTTAAGTCTTGGAAGTACTTACGGGATTGGGGGGAGAAGGGATTTGAAAGGGCTGGATGCCCGGCTACTCTGATCGGAGAGAAACGTCCGGGGGACGGCTGAGCTGGAGATGCAGCGTATCAACGGCGACAGCATCACCATTAAAAACATACGAAGTACAAGACATCGTCTCATCCTGAGACATGCAGTTCTCCGCCGAGTGAATCTTCCAATTGGGAGAGGTAATTGGCTGTTAAGGGTTTGCGTAATTAGGGGTTCCTTCGGCTGGAAGTGACGGGGAATGGGGGAGTTGCAGTTTTTCAGGGTT